TTCTCTGGAAATTAAGCTTCAACAAGTCTGGTATGGCCTGGATGTTCAGCAAGTCTGAGGTACGATGCTTGGATGGTGTATGTGGCTCATACACATTTATGATATGTTTCTCTGATGAATCAACCCTGTTATCATTATGAAGTGCCTTTCTTCATTCCTGGTAAAAACAGTTTGTTTTGAAATTTACAATGGAGGTCATCAGGTCCATAATACCAGAAGTGGAAATGAGTATCTTTTCCCAAAGCTCTGCAGTGATTTTGAAGTACGCTGTATTGGGAACCATTTCTCTGGATTCTTGTAATCTTTTCTCAGAGTGCATTTCAAATGAAGATTCCAATCCTCAGTGTTCTCCTCTCACTGAGCCAGACCGGTCAGGGTGGCTTGTCAATTTTATTCATCTTTTCAAAGAACCAGCTCTCTACTGCATTAATATTTCTATTATCTTTTTGTTCTCTGTTTCATTTACTTCTCTAGTTTTTATTATTTCCTTCCTTCTGGCATTGGGCTTTTTTTTACATTGGGCTTTGTTGTTCTTTTTCTAGTTCTTTGAGGTGAAATGTTAGTGGGGCTCTGGGGATGGCCGAGCCCACCATTCTTGTGTGTTTGTGGAGCGGGGCGAGTAGTGCTCCGGTGTGTTCTGAAGCTGGCCACCAGATGTGTTGGTTCTTGAAGCTCTTGGGAGAGACTTTGGTGCTGGACAGGGTCAGCTGCAGTTTGTGCCCAGGTTGGATCTCCCTGGTAGGAGCTACAGACTAATCTGTGGTTGGTTGGCATTTGTGCGGGGCTTAGAGGCATTTTGGAGAGGCTGTGCTGGAACCTAGGCTGTCTGCCATAGTCTGGGCTTACGTCTGGGCTTGGGGCCCTTTGGTGGCACTACGATGTGAGCTGAGGCCAGCTGCCACTTGTGCTGGGCTGTGGTCACTTAGTGGAAGCTGTGTCTAAAGCAAGACTGGTCACTGTTTATGCCAGACTGTGGTCACCGGATGGGAGTTACAAAGCAAGCTGAGAGTCACCATTTGGGCCAGGCTTGGGGCCACTTAGCCAGAGGTTTAAGGCACACCAAGGCCAGCTGCTGCTTGTTTGAGGTTTTGGACCTTCGAGAGATTTTGGGAAAGTCTGCAGGTCGAACCAAGGCAGAACCACTTGTTTAAAAAAGCCGCTGGAAGAGGTTTGGTTGGGTGCACCGGTTGGGTGAGGCAGGTCTCAGGTAATTACCAGGGCAGGGCAAGCGGTGTTAGCCAGGCTGATGGAGAGCACAGATACGGTTCCTGCCTGTGCTGTACCTGCTGGTTGGGGGTGGGCTCAACAAAGAAACAGTGCGCCTGCCAGCGCTTGCATCTCCAAGAGCTTTCCAGACCCCAGCTCCTTCAGCACTCACCCTAAAGCTAGCCAATTCAGTTCCTCCCAGGCGTTCCTGATGCTTTTCCAGCCGCCCCTGTGTTGGAGCCCAGGACAGATGAGTTTGTGAGTGAGTGAGTGGAAGTGGGCCCTTCAAGAGGACGCCTAGGTCTCCAGCTGTCCTCCACCTCACTCGGACCCAGGCCCTGCTGGTTTTCACAGCTGTATGTGATGGGACCCCTATTGCTGGCACTGGAGCCCTGGGCTAGGGAGTCCTGTTCAGCTGGGACTCCTTGCTCCTCAGGGGGAACCACTTTGGGTGTGGGACCTGCCCATTCTGTCTTTCCCCACCCACTAGTCTCAAGATGGCTTTATATCCTTAGTTATAGTGCGTCTGTGTAGCTAGTCTTCAGGTGCTTCTCAATGATGGTTGTTCTAGAATTTAATTGTAATTTTGACATCATGGAAAGAGGCAAACAGAGAATTTACCTACTCTGCCATCTTGACTAGAAGTCCTTTTTTTCATTTATTTTACTGTATACATTCAATCAGGATAACATATATGTTAAGAATTTTAGGGCAGGGGTTGGGGTGCTGGGTGAAAAAGGTGAGGGGATTAAGAACTACAAATTGTACTTACAAAATAGTCACAGGATGTAAAGTACAGCACAGGGAAGATAGCAGTAACATTGTAATGACTGCATGGTGCCAGGTGGTACTGGAAATAACGAGGGGCACACTTTGTGAAGTGTATGATTGTCTATTCACTATGCTGTACACCTGAAACCAATGCAAAAATAATATTGAATATAACTATAATTTAAAAAATAAACTATAATTTATTTTTAATTTATTAATTAATTTATTATACTGCAGATTACTTTTCGGTTATCAGGATGAACTTTATTCATGACTTTATACTATAGAAGTTCTACCAAGACTTTATTTGGATTTGTAAAAATAAATTCCTCCCACCCAACCCCACCTCCCTTTTTAGAAAATTTAGTAATAAGGGGTTTAAAAAGGATCACTTGGGAGGAATTTTTCTCTACAGTGTTCCATTTAACACTTACTGAGCTAGAAGTTAAAAATTAAACTTAAATAATGTTAAAAAATAAAAAGTTAAAAAATAAAAGTTAAACTAGGAAAAAATGAAAGAAGTATATGGTTCAGTAAAATTAAAATATTTAGTATATTTTAAACCCAATTGTTACAGCAAAATTATTTTTATGGGAAAATTGCTAATCATGCTGAAAGAGCTTTTTCTAGAATAAGGATTTGTTTAGAGAAGGATTAAGGACTCTAAATATTAAACCAAATGTTTTATGGACAATTTTTAAAGCAAAATTAAATTGTTAGGTAGACATCAGATACCAAGAAAACGCTCTTGCGGTTAAGCTTAAGTATGTCATCTTTTTCCTGGTTAGATGTCGATGACGGAGACACAGTGACAGATTTCATGGCTCAAGAGCGAGAAAGAGGCATTACTATTCAATCAGCTGCTGTTACGTTTGATTGGAAGGGGTACAGAGTCAATCTAATTGATACACCAGGTATGGTGCTGTTCTAGCAGGGATGCTGTATCATTTCAGGGTTTTGTTTGTGTATGTGTTTTCTTAAATTGTGGTAAAAAAAAAACCTATAAAATTTATCATCTTAACCATTTTTAAGTGTACGATTAAGTAGTGTTAAGTGTATTGATAATATTGTGAAACAGATCTTCACAACTTTTTCATCTTGTAGAACTTAAACTCTGTACCCTTTAAATAATTATTCTTTTTTGTCTCCTACCATGCCTGATAACCACCATTCTAATTCTATAGCTATGGAATTGACTACTTTACATACCTCATATTAGTAGAATCATACAATATTTGTTGTTTTGTGACTGGCTGACATCACTTAGCATAAAGTCCTTCAAGGTTCATTTATGCTGTGGCATATGATAGTATTTCCTTTCTTTTTAAGGCTGCATAGTATTCCATTGTACATAGATAACACATTTTATATATATACAGAATTTTATATCTCTACCATTTATCCATCAGTGGACATAAAGGTTGCTGCCACCTCTTGGCTATTGTGAATAGTGTTGCCATGAACATAGGTGTGCAGCTATCTTTGTTATACTCTCCTTTCAATTCTTTTAGATAGATACCAAAAGTGGGATTGCTGAGTAACACATTTGTTTGTTTGTTTTAAGGTTTTAACTGTTATATTTTCCATCTCTTTCTTAGGTCATGTGGACTTTACCTTGGAGGTTGAGCGCTGCCTGAGGGTGCTGGATGGTGCAGTGGCTGTGTTTGATGCCTCAGCCGGTGTAGAGGTAAAAAGTATGCCATGGTAAAAAAAAAACCTATCAGCATGATTTTTTTTTTTTAACAGCATGATTTTTTAAAAAAAGTAGAAGGTATCAGATTTAGTTTACTGTAACCCTTTATTTGGTAAGCTGATGTAAATCAAATTATAATTAAAGGAAGTTGGAATTTAATATTGAGATGTGACCTCAGCTGTATTATACAAAGGAAAGTATGTTTGCTTTTCCATAAGAAATATCAAAGTTAGTGTTAAATTGTGAAAGGTCTGAGATTCTACCTTATTTTTATGCTAACAAGGTCGCCTGCCATAGTTTTATGGATTTTGGCAGAATATACAAGACTCCTGAGTTAGAGACAAAAGACTTTATTAGTTACAGAAATAGCAATAGTCAGAATATCAGCACTTTCTTGTGCTGGTACCCCAAGCCCTTAGTCCCAGCGGGTGACCAAAGGGAGTCAGGTGACAGCTGCACCACAGAGGAACTTGTGCTTAGAAAATGCAGCTTTATTACCGTGGCAGTAAGCACGCCTGCTCTGAGCTGGAGAGAGACATTCCTTCCAGGGTTGTGAGCAAACCTGCCTTTTGCTCTGGGGGAGACGCTTTTTCTATCTTTCTAATGTTCATCATACAAACATCCTGGAAAATCTAGTTTAGAACAAAATCCATCAGTGCCGTTCGGAACAAAACATGCAGAAATGTGAGAGGCCCATGAAGAATCGTCTCCCAAAAGTTAATATAAAACTTCTTGACTAAGTCTTGAAAATGGACTTAAATTATTGCTACGGGGATCAGTTATGCTATCTTTAGCTGGCACCTCATTTGTCTTGTAATCTCAAGAACGGTTATATGTTGAATATAGAACTCACATTGATTTTTCTAATCTTAAAATTACTAAAAATAGTATCAATGAAGTGATCAAAATTAACATCCCTAAAAATTGGACAAATTGCCCGGCAAGCATAGCTCAGTGGTTGAGTGTCAACCTATAAACCAGGAGGTCAGGGTTTGATTCCCAGTCAGGGCACATGCCTGAGTTGGAGGATCGTTCCCCTGTGTGGGGCATACAGGAGGCAGCCAATCAAGGATTCTCATCATTGATATTTCTATCTCTCTCTCCCTCCCCCTACCTCTCTGAAATCAATAAAAAACAATTTTTAAAAATTGGACAAATTGACACCAAGGGAGAGAGCTTGAACTTTAGCTTGATCCTGGATCCAAAAAAAAAACAAAAAAACTTACAAAGGACATCATTTAGAAATTTGAATATGGAGTGTATATATTGTGTCAACTTAAATTCTTCTGAATGTGATCATTATAATTGGTTATGTTAGAGAATGTCTTATCTTAGGAAATATATGCTAAAGTATTAGAAATGAAGTGCCATGATATCTACAACTTGCTCTCATGGTTCAGCTCCCATTCTCTCTAGCGCTCTCTCTCTCTCGTTAGCTTCTATTAATTCTTTTTGTGTGGTAACCTAGGTCACCCAAAGCATTATTCTAAGTTTGAAGCTTATTTTTTTTCATCATACTTCCTTACATTCTTAGCTATGTTAACCTGATAGGAGTCTCGAAGTGTAGGTGCAGTGGCAATAATTTCATGCTAGAATATGGCCCATTTCCATGTTATAATAGAGTATTG